CATACATACATACATACATACATACATACATACATACATACATACATACATACATACATACATACATACATACATACATACATACATACATACATACATACATACATACATACATACATACATACATACATACATACATACATACATACATACATACATACATACATACATACATACATACATACATACATAAGGTAGTGCATTTTCCGAATAAGGTAGTGCATTTTCAAAAATGGCGGAAAAGTTTGACTTATATACAATTATGCCACCGCATTTTTCAACTTTTTTCTTGATTTTGACTTATTCAAAGACCCCCCCCCCACCCACCAACCCCCCATATAGGTATGTCGGCTAAGATGACTATCAAGAAGTTCGGAACAAAGGAGAGGATAATAACCACATAGAAGAAAATTATATAGGATGAAGCAGCTTTTTATTTCAAGATATATTCAGCAAAAGGGACAAATCTGAAACAGAGGGCATCCTGAACTGGAAATCTGAACTAATCGGTGATGAAGATAATCTATTAATGATTGAAGTCCCTGGCAGGGGACTATTTGGTTATAATGGCCAATTTTTTAGAAGAACTTGGGAGATAATCCACGAGGATGTCTGGAAAGATAGTCAGGAATTTTTCATGGGCTTTCCAGTCCCAACTAGCTATGGAAGTAGCTTTATCACCCTCATACCTAATGGGGAAGATGCAAAGGGATTTGGTGACTGTGGGCCTATTTCACTATCACCTTCATGAGCAAAATCAAAATAGAATTCTAGCCTCTAGATTCGGCAGTACTCTAGATAAAGTTATATCCCCAGAGCAAGGAGGCTTCCAACATGGTAAAAGCATTGATGATCAAATCCTATTGAGAGAATTTTGAACCATATGCTGGACAAAAGAGCTAGGGGGTAATGTTCTCATCAAATTAAGCATGGAAAAAGTTTCAGAAACTATTCTGCAGTCACAGGTTGGTAGGAAGAAAAACTAATTGATAATTTAAGTGTAACTTGATGGAGAGGAGTTTTGGAGGAAGAGATTCCATGGGTTTCGTGGTATAGCTTTCAGCAACAATACCTGGAATCTCCAATGCCTGACCCTTGGCGACAAGGACCATTTTGAGAAGTGTTATTGTTATGCAATTAAAATAAATATCTAAATCCACAAATCCCTAAGTTTCAAATTATGTGTTAATCCCTAAGTTTCTGGGATCATTTGCTTTCCAAGAATTTGTTTTTTCAATATATCTTTTAAATATTTTATTTGTTAGTGATTTCAGAATCGGTTCCTCCATAAGAAGGGATGAAAACAATTGAATTATAGAGTATATGCTGTGAATTGAGTAACTTATTTCCTTAAATTCTGTCCGCTATGCCCTTTTCGGTTTCATTCTCTTCTCGATTGCTTCAACTATTCCTATTTCCCTATCTTTTGTGAATTACCAGAACATTTCTCAAGGTCATTCAGTCATTGAAAGATGGAACATAAAGACTTGAAGTTTCTACTAAATTATTAGAATGGAAACAGTAAACATGAGCGTAGAGCTGCACAACAGATCTTCAAATGCATAAACCGAGATAGGTGCAAAATTTGATAGGAATAATGTTATTGGGTGACCTCAACAGTTTCTTTTCATGTGCAACAACTGTCATTGTCACCCACATAAAATTACTAAAATGATAGCATTGGTGAATAACAAGATCAGAAATAGCATTCACCCTTGTAATTGTTACCTCTTTCTCACAATCAATATTTCATGAGACGAGATCATCTGTTAGAATAATATCACATCAACAATTAAAAACAGTGTAAAAAATACTAACAACGCACCAAGATTTTTGTCAAAACACAACAAACAACAATACTCTAGGATTAATGTTATCGGGTGTTACCATTAGACAACGGCAGAGTACTTTTAGAATCCTTACGCATGTCGAATTGTACACACAATGGAGATGGTAATTTAATAAATTATAAGGAGATGGGCAGAAAATGAAAAAAAAAACAGATTGATTGTTGGTCCAAATTCAACACATTCTCCCATTACAGAAGTCATTCCTAATTTCTTACATCTATGAATCGGTCCCTCTCTGTGGACTATGGAGCTTGCATAGGGAAAGCTAAAAACTTAACTACAACTGCAAACAAACAAAAATCTCAGAATTGGCATAAGTTCAATCTGACTAAATGCTTTTTCCAATTTGAAAACTTTACTCCCTAGACAGTGTCAGCTGCTCCTACATTTTTAATGCAAATTTTGGTAATAAATCCATAACAGGAATCTCTTATAGAAGCTTTTCTGTATAGATCCTTCACAATCCTATCTTGTTCTAAATCATTATTTCTTTTTGTGAACAACAAATACTACTATAAAATCTATAATGGTATAGCAAATTATTACTCTCTAAAGGATTTGGGCACTGAAGTGCTGCCACAAGTCATCCAAATGCAAATGCATGCACAAATAATTGCAAGTATTGTAAAAGCACTCACTTCCCCACTAAACGTAATTGGTTGTTCATGCTTGAGAAGTTGTTCATACTCATCACTGGTGTCAAGAACACGTGCACCAAGATTCCGTCTATGGTATTCGCGTATCTATACATCCAAGAACAAATACATATGTTAGACCATTAGACGAGCAAGTTTTGTCAGTATAAATTGCACTAGATATAACTAAAATATATGACCCC